CCGAACACATGGTAGAAACTGGACATGAAATAGAATGGTCTCAAACTAGTAGGTTTGCTGGTTATGGTACGTCTGTGGTTAAAAGAAAGATAATAGATGCTATTGAAATTAAGAGCTTAGGAAATACGTTAAATGTGAGGAATGGTGGTAGAATATTGAGTAGGAACTATTTATGCATGATTGATAGATTGAAGGAGAAATAAGGTGTTGAGCCGTCGTCAAAAAGAAGGTGACTCAATTTGTCTGTTCAGTGATGGTTATAACTTCACTCACACTCGTCCAACATGTTAGATTAAGCTTATCAACCAAACCGAACGTACCAGATTATGCAGCCCCGGTCAAGCCTTTCCTTGAAAGGTTAAGCTATAATGGCCCTAGACTGAGAGGTTAGGACAAGTGGTTTCGTAACTTGACTTACATGTTTACAAGCTCATATCTCATTATCTGAACCATACTTGTTTACGGACTTACACAGTCTCGGTCAGGGCTTTCTTTTGGGTCAGTAAGCCTTGATGACCAGAGCTTGAAATTAGCCTTTTGATCACTCTGAATTAGAATCGGTATTGTGAATAGACGTTAACGCACACACACAAACTCGAGCACAAGTAGCAGGACCAGTATTTAAAATAATTAGCCAAATCACTCTATATCTATCTATCTATGTTTCTAATTTTCATTTGCTTAATTGAGTCGACATAAGAGGAAAGATAGAGCCGGATAGTCTGCTTGCCATAGTGTTAACGTGTGACCTTCTAAGATAGGAATGAGACCCAGCTCTGATGATGTACATCAAATGATGGACGAGAGCTCAGCACATTTTCACCCGAAACAAGGGTGGTCTCTTGGACTGCGTCAACTTGAACGTCGTATAAAAGCCAAACGGATTCAATCCTTTATTAAATCATCGAGAAGGTATCTCAATGGTATTCGATACTTTGATAGAAATGTGCTGCTAAGGTGCATAAAGAAAGTCAAATAATTGAATGGATTGATCTCATAACATATCATTTGTAGAATCAAAAGAACTAATGAAGGTAGGACAATATCAGTACAAACAATTAGCATTCACAAGTGCGCTTCAAGACTACCATTAAATCGTATATAAGACCTGTATTCAGCCTATTTCATAGAAGCTGATCGAAGAAGGCATGGCTTTCCTTGAAGTTCCCGTTTGCCCTGAGATCCAATGTCAGTTGTGTAAGTCTCGCATAGTGGTTAATGTATTAAGGCTATACGCTGCACTACAGCAACCCGGACTTGAGTCCTGCTGGGGCTGTTGGTGAGAACAGTTGAGGCAAGGTCGGCACTGCAGTCCACTCCAGCCTGAATGAGAATACCTTTTAGGAAGCAGGGTTGTGTGAAATTCAATGGAAACATGAGGCCTACACATAAAATTTTTGTAAAATTCAACTACCAGTCTTTCATCATCTTAAAGGAAATATGTTGAATACGGGCCTTGTAAAAAGAATTGGCAACCCTAAGTTTCTCTGGCCTGTTGCCTTCTGAATAGACCAAGAGACAAGGTGATGGATAGTGGGTGAGACATTGTTGGCAAGTTAAATGCAATATAACACGTGAATGTAATGATAAAAAGACATAAAAAATTAGCAATTAAGCTTTCAAACAATCGAATGAACACTTTAGAAGTGTCGAATGAATATACCTCGTTCAGACCATCTAGGATATCGAGTTTAGTGAGCGCGACAGCAGTAAACCCGTTGATACAATGCGCATACCGCACCATTACAGCATCCAGCCAGCCAACACGACGACGGCGCTTTGTAGTGACGCCCCACTCCTGTCCAATATTCTGGAGGTGCTGACCGATCTCGTCGGTCAATTCAGTCGGGAAGTGACCAGAACCGACACGAGTAGTGTAAGCTGAGAGGGGAGAGTCAAAGTGAAAGAAGAAGAGATAAGATGCAAAGCAGGACGGTTAAGAAGAAAGAGATAAATAGTGCTGAGCGTGTATTGATGTAAAGATAACTTGCAACAAATTCTAAAGTTAGTGACAGAGGAACCTCTATAGATGTGTTATTTCCAGAGCCCGCATCCCAAGTACGCCTTAAACAGGCCGAAACAATCGTGATGCATATGCTGACTTTGGCGCGATATACTAGAGTCCAGCTGAGATTTTAAGTTCAAAAAGAATCTCTAGAACACTTGCTAACTAGCCTCGATTCCCTATCCGTCAGTGCTTCTGAATAGTTGTCCGACAACTGTGAGAAGTTCGTTACTTCGGAAGCTTCAATGGGGCTCTGAATACCTAATGTTTTGCTTAAAACTTCAGTCACTTCAAATTATTGCTTTGCAAGAGAAGAAGAACATCACTGAGCAAGAGAATTTATTCCGAAAATAACCAAATAGCTAATCCCGGAGGTTTTATAACTATAGACCTTTTTCATACTCCACAAGTTCGTTTAATTATTAAAGTATCTACATCTAACGTTCAATCTGTGGGTAAAAGGCTCTGATTGGTATCATTTTGTTGGCATATATATAAGTAGCAAATAATCCACAAGGAGGTAAAGTGGCAACTCAACAAAGCTTTAAGAAAGATGAACCCCTAGGGTAATATTGCGTTATAGAAAAGAGATGATTGTATGCGTAAATCTTACAGCAACTTACATCGCCAAAGCCCTTCCTAATCCATCGTGGACCACAATTTCCCCATCGTCTGGGTTTAATCAGCAATCCCATCATGATTATAAACTATAACGTCTCTGTCAAATTGCAAGCTTGTCGCTTCCCATTACCATTGAGTTATGGAACAGATATCGATACAATGCAAAGTAACCATCCCCTAAGTCGCGTCCACCCAATTGGGGAGTTTTTGGTTAAGACTGAAAAGTAAATTGAAAATGAACAAGTCTGCCTGATTTGGAGTATGCTCATATTTGACATTTAATTTTGGATACAAATATTGTTGCGTTTTGATTCCACTTCATATAGGGTTATACTTGTAGGTCCATAAATTCATAATTAGCTCGGATCGGAGTGGCAAATACGTCCTAAAAATAAAAACTAACATGCTTTCATAAGAATGAAATATAATTTTCCCCGAGTCATTTGACTTAAATATCCATCCAGCTTAATAGTTAAGTTATGACTAGAACAGCAAAAGGTGGTTGGTATATATTAACTTTGACCTAATTTTTTATATACTCTATGCACAGCAAGAAGACTCAAATAAAATGGACAAAGTAATTGGATACTCAAAAGTAAGAAACCAGAGACAAGCGCAAATGAAATCAAAGTAGACACAATAAATATCACAAAGCACTAAATCCTAAAGAAAAGAGGAATCTGAACCATACACAATCGGATGACCTGATGAGGGAAATGTGAAGGAAAATTTGTTTCACATTGACAAGCAACCCCAACATCTACTTTGTCACTTACATCGAAGCATGTGGGTGAAGGAACATACACTATGTAAGAGAAATGTTCGGATTCAGAGTAGGCTGTCGATGTATTCACAACAACTCAAGGTATAATAAAGATATATACTCCCTTACTCATAAGGTATCTTAATATGTTCCGATTAGGAAAATCAATCATTTGATAACCACGAGCCTAAGACATATTATGATGAAAAACCGAGGCTCCAGGAGTCGTTTTAAGTCTGAAGTCCTTGGACAATTCATTTTTCATGAAAAATTGGTTGGAAGGGATTCGCAGGTCTGCCTCATTATAACCTGACAAAAGTTTGTATTGGAGTCAGGACTAACGATAAGAGCGACAAAGTCCTCATCGCACTGTCCTTAAACCTCAACGAAATAATGACGAGCTCTCTTCTGTCCTGTCATGACGTGAAGCGGCTAATCATTAAACCGTGGTAAACCTACCTATCAGTCCCTACATCACATTAAACGACCAAAATTACTATTTCTTAACGAAGCACCACAAAATCTATAACCAAAAATGGTGGTCAGCCTCAATAAAATGTGGGTATCATCAAAGCCAGTCACTATACTGCAATCAATCTCACATGAAGCCCTTACACGGCTTGCTAGCCCCAGCTCCCAACCGTAAAACAAAGTCCATCGACTATCCATCCTTTTATGCACTTTG